ACCAGCATCAGGCAGATTTAGGACCGTGTATTGAGTAGGAATTGATTTTACATTTATATGTGTCTTCTCTTGGCTAAGACGACCCGTCCCTCTCTTATCTTGAACCAATAGAAATGTAAACAAAGTTACGGATGTTTTAACTGCTGCATTATTGCCATTTTCAATGCTGTTTTGTATGTAATCATATGTATTTTTTATTTAAGTCAATATTAATTGGAGTTTGGGTCATTTGCTATAGATTTGGACTGTAAACACTGAACGGGTCTCATGCTTGAAAACTAAACTAATTAACTGAGACCACAACTGTATCCAGATTGACTCATTTGTGTCCTTTCATCAAAAATCTTTTCTCGTCTTGCTGAATTCATTAGTGAAGAATCAATAAAGCAAAGGTTATGATTGAAATTATCTAATGTGTTAAACATCCTGTACACCCCAATGTTATCTTTCAAATTACTAGCATGTATATTGAAGATACAGCTTAATAATTGGTTACTTTGATGTAATTTGGTGAAACGGTGCTTTAAGGAACTTGTCAATAAGCTACTGAAACTAATGCAATGAAATAAGCTGATCTCGAATTATTTTGAATTTCACCAAAGACATGTTCTGGATACGATTGGAAGGCCAAATAATGTGTTGTATTTTTAATAGACATGTATTGTAAGAGCAAGCAACCTGTGAACTGATCTGGCTTGTTGTACTTGCATTAAAATGACAATAAAATTATAAATGACCCACACAATTTGACTGGCTTTAACATTTGGAATAGTAGGCATTAATATCATAATGACAGCAAGTTTCTGGTCATTATTAACAAAGGAAATTAAACTTATGTCAGCCAGCCATTTTAATGTAATCCAACACTAATACCTTATGTTCACCACAAAGCAAAAGGTTGGGCTTGTTTGTAGGGTTGCACAACATGTTTCTACTTGCTAAGTGGCATAACAAAACTTCAATCTGACTTCAAACATTTAAACGACTTTTCATTGTGCATGTTGGATTCGGTACAATGTGAACATTGATAAAGTTGTTCATGTGGTATACTTTCACTTTGCTGAGTAATGGTTTTTCTATTTGAGTGGGTTGGTAAATATTCTCTTTTGACCAAAGCAGAGAAACAGGAGTACAAGCTTTGTTAAGCTATAAAGGACTCTCATACACAGAGTGCATAGTTTTCACTGATGAAGATAAAGTAATTGAACAGTTCTCTGTCCATGTGCGGATCTATAAAACCGTTAATAATGGTGTCATTCATGAGTTCTTTGCATACTGTGGTTGAGAGACACAAAAACCAAATAGCTAGCAGGGGCTGTTGCTGGCAGGATGCCGTGATATAGCAGGAATTTATTGAAAGTATGCTCAACTGGTTTGTTTAAGCCGCTGGTAATTATAAAACCGATTCACTATATCATGTTGCTCAAGCATATTTTATTTTTCATTGTTCTGCGTTTTCCACTGCAGAAAATAATGTAGTCAAGACAACAAAATAATTAATCTTAGTATTCGCCCATCCATCTCTGTCACACAAATAATAATACGCCAATGACAACATGCTTGGGTAAATACTAAAATACCCTCTTTCTAAGGTTAACTCATCTTTTGATCAGAACCTTTAACACTATATAGCAAGAATGAGGCTGAGCAGCCTGAGGTTGGGGAAAGTACACATATTGACAGGAAACACTCTTTAAATGTTACATCAGCACTGTCTGTTGTTGATATTATTAAAATGATACTGATTATTTCAGTTTAAGGCCAGGCCTGTCTATAGATATATCTATCTGTTTTATTATAGTACTATTATAGTAACCAGATTTGAGGGAAAAGCCCCTTTGTCCAACAACAACAAAAAAAGATTTAAAGTAATTGTAAGTTATGCATTAACTTTTCATGGATCAAGCTAACAAAAATGGAAAGTAGTTTTGTTTTCCTGTTTATGCATGTGTGTGGATAGACCATAATTATAAAAAGAGTCATAGTAGTAATCATGGACTCTAGTAGACATTTGACTCTTGAGTCGGGGGGGGGGCAAGAAAAAAGCAAAAGTTTTTTTTCCTGATGTAAGCATCAAAACAATGGCCGACCGTATTGAAGCGCATCAAAGCAGTCAATCCAACACAGTCAAGAATAACTTAAAGAGGTTGCCACTGTTTAGTAAACTGTGCTTAGTATTCGCCCATCCATCTCTGTCACACAAATAATAATACGCCAATGACAACATGCTTGGGTAAATACTAAAATACCCTCTTTCTAAGGTTAACTCATCTTTTGATCAGAACCTTTAACACTATATAGCAAGAATGAGGCTGAGCAGCCTGAGGTTGGGGAAAGTACACATATTGACAGGAAACACTCTTTAAATGTTACATCAGCACTGTCTGTTGTTGATATTATTAAAATGATACTGATTATTTCAGTTTAAGGCCAGGCCTGTCTATAGATATATCTATCTGTTTTATTATAGTACTATTATAGTAACCAGATTTGAGGGAAAAGCCCCTTTGTCCAACAACAACAAAAAAAGATTTAAAGTAATTGTAAGTTATGCATTAACTTTTCATGGATCAAGCTAACAAAAATGGAAAGTAGTTTTGTTTTCCTGTTTATGCATGTGTGTGGATAGACCATAATTATAAAAAGAGTCATAGTAGTAATCATGGGTGACATTTGACTCTTGAGTCGGGGGGGCAAGAAAAAAGCAAAAGTTTTTTTTCCTGATATAAGCATCAAAACAATGCCCGACCGTATTGCAGCGCATCAAAGCAGTCAATCCAACACAGTCAAGAATAACTTAAAGAGGTTGCCACTGTTTAGTAAACTGTGGACTAGCTTTGGCTCTTCCTGTTGACTTGAATGAATGGTGATGCTTTCTGTTTGTCAGTTGATGGCTTTCTTTTTTAACCAGAAATGTGCACACTGCTTTTCTGATGTTCACTGAAGTTTTCCGTGTCTTTTTCCCGTGTCATTTGAAATGTGTCCGCTTTGAATCATTGTTACCAAAGACACGTGAGGAAAAAATAAACGATCAGTTGTGGGACTATATTCTGTCATAAATCACATACCATTCATTGCTGAACTTTCTACTGGAAATGAAATGAAATTACTGGTTGATATGTCCTGATCTGAATAAAGTTTACACACACTTTTGAAAAAAAAGAGTCATAGTAGTAATCATGGGTGACATTTGACTCTTGAGTTAATTGAATTAAAAGAGGAAACACTCTTTAAATGTTACATCAGCACTAATTATTAACACAACAATTAAGTTAATTAAATGTAACATTTAAAGAGTGAATTAGATCTCGCTTGGGACGCGCGCTGTCTGTGGAGGTTTGGCCAGGACCGGTTCCAGAATTAAATCAACATATTTTATGTTCCGTCCAGTGCCAATCAAAGCTATTCCGAGAGTGAATCCAGCATAAATATGCGGATGTCATTCCCGAAACTTTGCAGGGTGTAGCCTATGTGTCCGAAAAACGAAAGTTTCATACAAATTCTGAATGGATTATACCCTAGAATACCCTAGGATTATCACTAAAAAGCGTCACTCATCTTCGTTCATGGCGATCTTACAAAGTTCCGTTATAATCAATGAAGCTCTCTAAACGGCTCAATGAATCTCTTATTTACATCATGTCTGCACTTAGTCATGAGATGATTCACGAGCGTGCAAAACTGCACTTAAAAACTGCATTGCTTTCAGCAGTGAGTGAATTCTGACAAAACGTTTCTGATTGGCCATTGTGTTCAAGAAATCAACAGATATCTGTGATTGGTTACATTGCTCAACGCTGCAAAAACACGTTGAGGGTATTTAGCGCTTGGCTAGGGATTCCATGACTAACCCTAACCCAATGTCACCCATGGTAGTAATAGTAGTTATATGTAGTAAATGTGTGTTTGTACTGTGATGAGTCTCCTGCTCGTCCTGCTACGGCCGGCCAGTGGGTGTGTCTAGGAGACTCATCAGGAGAACGATGTCCACCTGTTCTTCCTGCTATAAGAGTCGTGGCTTTGTTGGTGTGTGGGTGGCCTGGTTTGTTCCCGATTGCTTTGTGTTTGGTTTTGGAATGTTTATTTGGATTTTGTTATGAGTTGTGAGATTTGTTCTGTCTGACTTTATAACATCTGTGTCAAACAGAAATGGCAGTTCTTTTTCCTTTCTTTTGTTAATAAATAACTTGTTGCAACCTTACCAGCCGCATGTCCTCCTTTCATTTGTTACGGCTTTGAGCCGGTCGTGACAGTATTGTCAGCAAGTATGCAAACTTTCTGCAGTATGCTTGGATGTTTTGGTCATGTTAGCAACAATTAGCAGAAACAGTATTGAGCATTGAAAATGCTACAAGAAGAGATTATATATACTGTGATAACACTGGTGAATTTTTATTTTTTTTACAACAACTGCAGAAAATGAAGTCATCTTAAACATTTGTAAATATTTCTCAAAGGTCTGAAAACAGAATAATTCATGCTGGGGAATTTTCAACACCATCAGACAAATAATTACGAGTGGGCCTTTTACCATTTTCAACAACATCGAGTAGAGCTTTCTTCAAATGTAAACAATTTAATTTCAAATTGTATTCAAATTAAATTGAGCAATTCGACTTAAACCCATGAACTCCATATCACACACTAAGGAAACAAGAGTTAAACATCAGTTACTCTGAACCATGTTGTCATGTTTCATTCAGATCTATTGTATTTGTATTTGCATATGTTTTGGACATATATCTATACTAAGGGGGCAAATCTGATCGAGTTGCTTTTAAAATATTCCTTGACACAAGTGCTAAACACAGGTGTTTACTCAAAGTATGCTGGAGTTTTTTCTTAAGATTTACAAATGTTTGCTTCTTAGACAAGTCTAGTCAAAAAGTGGATTTATCCACATTTGTATATGCTGCAAACAATGAACATTAAATAAATCAGTCAGTTTTACAGAATATTACAGAATGGCTTACAATAAAATACACTCCTTTTTCATCTCACTGTCACAGGCCTTTATTTGAAACAGGAAGTGGTTAAATGCTCTGCATATGCATGCATATATATATATTGTGTGTGTGTGTGTGTGTGTGTGTGTGTGTGTTCAAAGCCACAAGACAACATTAATGATGTATTTATCAGTAGAAACTAAGTACACTATTATGTAATGCTAAGCATTAGAGAGGCTTGCAAAATTAGTTCTTCCATTTCGTTTTGAATTTTACTAGAGAAATACAGATGAAAGTGATTACAAGAAACACCACAATATTTATGCTGATGAGCAGAAAGTTGATCCACGACAGAGATGATTGCGATTCGTCAAATCCAGCTGAAACCATTAAAGAAACATCATTTACTCCAAGAATCTGTGGCATTTTTCTAAAATCAGATGAAAATGCACCCTGATAGCAGTGTCCTCAAAAAACTGGTTGGAGAAGGAGTGAGTATACCTGTTATCATTTCAGTGCTCACTGTCTGGGTTTTTTCTGTCATATCTGTAGTACAACAACAAAAATGTTATACTGATAGGATATTCATATTGTAAATGTTGTGTATATAATAACTGTATCCATTCAAATAATAATGAAAATAATGTAAAACACTAAAATAGGTCAAAATGAGAACTTACCCCATCCAAGTTTTTTGTCTGAAATTTGAAGAGAAATTCCATCACCATCTATGCGACTAAAAATTTTGCCCACATAGCAAAATGCAATACATTTTATACTGTCATTGTCATTCACGGACAGGTTTCTCAGAGTCAGTGTTGTGAATGTGTCATTAAATGATTGTAGTCTGATACGCTGATCATATTTCTCAGCATACAGTATATCATTTGTGCTATCTTCTTTTGGATTTGGAATAGTCCACTTGAATGTGCACTTCCCAACTTTCTCCTGATCAGAATCTACTTTGCACTGTATAACCGCTGCATCCCCCACTTGATAGAGATCTTGGTAGGCGTTCTGAAGTACCCAAACTCTACTAGAGCCAGGAAAGATGAGAGCTACACACAATAACATGCAATTAATACCAGCACCAAGCAGAGGTAAGCAGAAACTGCTTAAACGTCATTTACTTCCATAACAGCTCACCCAAAAGACAAAGCAGAGTGTAGTCACTGACTTTCCTTTGTTTGTTCATGATTTTCTTTCTGGCAGTCCGTGCACAAATGCTCTCATTTCCTGTGCTCAACCTATAAGCTGAAACTGACATGAGACCACACTAACCACTGTCACATTTTCGTGTGTATTTAATAAGGTGAACAGAAATGAAAACAGGTCAAAATATCAAAGCAATCTTACTTGTTATTATCTATGAATTAAAAAATGGAAACAATATTTTTTGCATGTTTTTGTTTTTTAATTGTTGTGGGTTGCATACAGGCCTATTCGTATAAAGAATAATTATGATGTTTACTGTTTTAATATAACTCACCGAAAATCACTTTTTAAAAAATAAGTAGTAATCATGGCAAAAACAAACAGATCAAAACAGTATTATAACAAAATTATGACTTTTACAAAAATACATTACAAAAAGAAAATAAATATGAGAACATAAAACTTGTACTTATATTTTGTATTTAATAATAATTATAGCCTAATATTCACAAACTGTGAATATACTGTAATTTTCAAATGTTATTTTTCATTTGTACTTTTGGAAATTGATTTTTACTACCAAAAATTAGGAATATTATTTTGCTTTTTAAGATAACCTTGAGCACAAAGTATGTGCTTTGCACATAATTGTAGCAAGTGTAATTGTTTAGTTGATTCTTATTTTTATATTGATTTATTTCGGGGTTACATTTTACCCACTTGGTATAGTTTGCATTGCAGTATTATAGCCTACTCGTTTAACATGAATAGTTAGTATGTGACTACCTTGAAACCGATAACATTGTCAAAAAAAAAAAAGGGTTAAACAACATAAGTTCAGGGCTGGATGGTTTCAAAAGTATTAGAACAAATCCTTTTGGTTAGAATGCATAATAATACTGATAATCAGTTTGGTTTTAAAAGTAAGCATGGTGTCGATTTATGCATATATGCACTAAAGGCAGTGGTGGACGAAGTACACGAATCAAGAACTTGAGTAAAAGTACAGATGAAATATTACTCCAGTAAAGGTATTAAGCACTCCTTTTCAATTTTACTCAAGTAAAACGTATTTGAATCAAAACGTATTTGATTTTTTTAATGTACTTGAGTATTAGAAGTATTGATCAATGAACATTTACTTATTTTGTCATTTATATACTTATGTATTTAATAATTTTCTGTTATATATTTTATATAACCCTACTGCTCAAAATACCTGGGGGAGGTATTTTTTATTTATTTTGAAAGGTCAAGTAGCCAGCACTGGTCAACAGGGAAGATTAGTGGATGCAGATGCTTAATATGCCCAACAGCAGGGGCGCTTTTACCCCAAATACCATACTCTTCTAGTTATTGAAAAACTGTTGCTTTAATTATCTTAAACCAAACTGAGAATCATTAAGAAGACCTTTGTCTCAAAATATATTCAATAATTTTAGCGATTCTCATTTGCTACAGAATCAACTACACGAAAACACATCACTGCCAGGAGTTATTGCCCAAACTTCAAAGGCCTGTTTAAATTATTAAAACTAGAGGCATTTATTCACTTTAAGCTAACTTTTTATCATGTAAACTATATGTACAGCATGTTATATGCACGTGACAGACAGTCGGAGAACACCTGAACAGCGTGACCGACTGAACGATACTCGTGTGTTTGCAGTAGCCTCCACAAGCCACGGTTCAGCACGGTTCACGGTTCAGTGTGAAAGCACAACGAGCCCGTGCTGCTGCTACTGCACCGCTCACGGACTGCACTGCAAACGCATCTTCACTTTAATTTCATTCACTCTTTGCTGATATACTGCACTCAATTGTCAGACACTATATAGAGATTTGAGAATCAGTGAAGACATCCGCGATTTCGGAGTCGACAACGAGAATCGATTCCAGTGCTGGAGTCGACTCCGACTCTAGAGCTATTCAGAGTCGAGGAATCGACTCTTTTGGAGTCGACTCCTCATCCCTACCGCAGTTCACTGTTGTTCTACTGAAGCTCATTTGGCACGTGTTTCTTTCCGCGCCTTAATAAATGAATTTCTTGTCAAGAAAAAAAGGGACAAAAACTGCTGTATTGAGTGGGGTGTCCGAGCTTAGGCCAGCGGTGGCCACGCCCCCCCCCCCCTGGTAAGTGAAAGCAAAAGGAACAAGAAGGGGCATATTCCAGATGAATCGTAAGCTTTAATCGACGATCAAACGTTAAGATTTAACTTGTAAGGAAAGCAGATTAAACAAGCTGTACAAACTGCAATGAGCTAATATCAGACAAGATTTATTGCATTTTTTTTTAAATCACTAATTCACGTTTACCCTTCCAGAGGCTTGTAAAACCGTCCGTCATGAAACCCGCAGTAAGTCCAAAGTTATAACTGATATGCTTATTTAGACAATATAGTGTAGCCTAAGTTTAAATTAATCAAACACTTTAAACGAGAGGCAGAGCTTGCCTGTACCAAGTTTAGCTTGGGACTGAATTTAGGATAAATGATCATTTGTATAGCCTACTCTAGTTCAGGCCATTTCAATTCATTACAAATTCTACTAGGCTGATTGAAAGAGTTTATCATTTTACCTGCTGCTATGGGACTAAACATCACATTTTACATTATTGTTAGAAATTAACAATCGGTCCCTATAGATTCTCTTTGCCACCTTGAAAACTTCTCAGTCCCTTAAAGTGTAGATATACGGCCGGGAAGCAAGAAAACACACATTCAAATGGTATTCTCAATACTTCAATTTATTCATAGAAATACAGATCTTATATAGGCATATGTCGAGGGGAGTTTCACCCTCTTAACCAATGAGGATAGGATGACATACACATATAGGATGTTTGACCAAGAACATCCTATATGTGTATGTCATCCTATCCTCATTGGTTAAGAGGGTGAAACTCCCCTCGACATATGCCTATATAAGATCTGTATTTCTATGAATAAATTGAAGTATTGAGAATACCAT